GCTACGACGCATGGGCCCGCAGCATTGCCCCACAAGTACAGACCCTCCTCGGGTAAGACCGGCCTTGCATTTAACGTTGAGGGTCTATAGTTTTTTTTTTTTTTTTTTTTTACCCCCTCGTTGGTTTATTTCTTTATTTACTGGGCCTTCTCTTTCTATCTCCCACTCTCAGTCCTTACCCCAACTCTTTCGTTCTAAACCCTGAAACTTAAACCCAACCCCCAGGGAGAAGCCGCTAGGCATGCCTGTAGCGCCTCTGCCAAAAGCTGGAGACGGCAGCAGCAGCCTCAACGACACTGCTGGCGACCCTCCTCCTCCGCTCCCATCCTCCCCTTCTCCCTCCTCACCCTCCTCACCCTCACCCTCCTCCTCTCCACCCTCCTCCTCCTCTCCACCCTCTTCCTCTTCTCCTTCCAACTCCTCCTCCCCTTCCAACTCCTCCTCCCCTTCCAACTCCTCCCCTTCCAACTCCTCCTCCCCTTCCAACTCCTCCTCCCCTTCCAACTCCTCCTCCCCTTCCAACTCCTCCTCCCCTTCCAACTCCTCCTCCCCTTCCGACTCCTCCCCCTCCAACTCCTCCCCTTCCAACTCCTCCTCCCCTTCCAACTCCTCCTCCCCTTCCCCCTCCTCTCCTCAAACCGCTTCTCCTTCCCCCTCAACTCCTCCCACCACCAACACCTCCTCCCCAGCCCCTGTTTCCGCATCCAAATCCCCAACCCCAGGCAAAACCCCCCCCACACATTCTTCCCCCCTCCCTACGGCCATCATCCCATCCCTCACTCCCCCAAATCCCACCGCCCCCATGCCAGACCCCCAAGCTCCCTCCTCTCCCTCACCCACTCCCCTCCCAACCCCCTCCTCCCCCTCACCCTCCCATGAATCACCTGCCGACCTCTCCCCCTCTCCACCCATCTCCACCCCAACGCCTGCTCTGGAAGCTCCTGATGATGGCGGTTCGAATCCCAAGAAAGAGATATCTGGGGATGCTGCTGGTGCGGGCACAGGAGGTGGTGGCACAACTGGTGCTGGTGCGGGTGCTGTTGGTGCTGCTAGTGCTGGTGTTGCTGCTGCTGCAGGAGCCACCACCACCCCTACAGGGCAATCTGCAAGCAAGGCAGCAGCAGCAGGGGCAGCAGCCAGCTTCCAAAGGTGGCAGGTGGTGTTTACCACTCTTGTGGTCCTAGCTTGTACTCTATCCCTGGGGATGGTTTAAAGCCAGAAAGCTCAGCAAGGGTGAGATAGTTGCATGCAGGGCCCCTGGCTGTTCTATATTAGCATGTAGTGCTTCCGGCTCCTGCATTCGGCAGTGGATGGTTGGTAAGCTGTGTTCTATATTAGGATGTGCCCTTAGGTAAGTAGTGCTCCCCGCTCCCCTGCTCAGCCGGGCACGGGTGAGCCCTGTGCTCCATGCCTTAGGAGCCTTAGATATCTTCGCAGTAAGTGGTTTGTGTTCTATATTATGATGTAGTGTTCTGCAATGCAGAAAGTGTAATGTGATGAAAGTGCTCTTTTGTGTGTACTACCCCCTACAGATGGTATAGCATCTTCCAATTTTTGCATTCACTCGATGCGAGGTGGATAAGAAATGTGTAAAGATCTTATCTTTTCTCTGCGATAAAAAATATATGTGAGTGTATTTGGGATATATGTGTGTGTGTATCCTAGCTAGGTCAGCTCTTAGAGGGTACAACCCCATGTTCTTGTATCTCCCCTCCCAGTCTAGTGCATCCATTCTCGCTATTCTAACAGAAACACCCAACGAGAAAGACCAGCCAACGTTGCCAGGAGTGGGGCATGGCAACAGAGAAGCCAGGATAAAGAGGTGCCCTTGGGGAATGAACCTGCTGCCTACAAAGACATGTCCACTGCGACCAGCTCAGAGGTCCACAAAGCTGAGCAGAAACCCGCTCACTACCCGCCTGAGGAAGGCGTTGGGCATGTGGCGGCAGAGCCGGCCGTCTACATACGCCACCACACCCGCCACCACCACATGACTCACCGCCGCCCTCACCCTCCCTCCTGTGCTAGGCCTTGACTTGAATCCCAGCGAAACTCGCCCTTGCACCACCACCACTTGCACCTACATCCACTGCGTGTCTTGATGAAGAAGGGAGGAAGAGGATGGCTCAGAGATCCACAAAGCTGAGGAGAAACCCGCTCACCACCCGCCTGAGGAAGGCGTTGGGGATGTGGCGGCAGAGCCTGCCATCCACATACGCCACCACACCCGCCACTACCACATGACTCACCGCCGCCCTCACCCTCCCGCGGCCCCCTCCTCTCGCTTTCGCTTCCCCACCAGCCGTCCCTTCCCCTTCCCCTGGCTCTCTGGCAGCAGCAGCGGCTGTAGCAGGCCCTTCATCTGGCTGAGTGCCAGGTGGCGGCTTCACGTGCAGCCACCTGGCAGTCTGGTGTCTCAAGGTGCGGATGAGAATGGTGACTGCCAGCTGCTCGAGGAGAGCCCAGACCGCCACTCGCGCGTTGTGGGGCCCCTGAAAGGTGTGTGGAGACAGGGGATGGGAGTGGAGGGGGGAGCAGGCAAAGGGCGGCTGGATGAGAATGGTGCCTGCCAGCTGCTCGAGGAGAGCCAACACGGCCACTCGAGCATTGTGAGGACCCTGGGATGTGCGAAGGGATAGGGGATGGCAGTTGAAGTGGAGAGGGAAGGGGCCAAGGGGGCGGGAGAAGGAGAGGGTGAGGGTACTGACTGCCAGCTGCCGTAGGAGAGCCCACACAGTCACTCGCGCGTTGTGAGGACCCTGGGGTAGAGACGACATGAAGGATGGAGGTTTATTGTCTTGAACGTGCAGATGAGAATGGTGACTGCCAGCTAGCCTGCTCTAGGAGAGCCCACAGTGCTGCACTGCCCGTGTAGCAGTTCCTGAAGAGTAGTCATCTTCGGGGTCGGGACGAAAGTCTGAAAGAAGTCCACCCCCTCATGCTGACTAAAGCCTCTAGCCACATAGCGTGCCTTGAACACAGGGGGCTCTCCAGGAGGGCGCTTCACCTTGAAATGTCAGTGGCCATCGACTACGTTTACCCCAGGTGGGGGAACTGTGCCGGTGGATCTCCAAAATGCCATCTCCTACTCCATGGCATCTATCCACTGAGAGGCCCAAGGTCCCGAGGTCAGAAAATTGCATGAAAACAAACAAATGTGCTCTAGGAGGAGAACTCCTACGTCGACTCCACGGAAGTCACCGAACTCACCATTTGCTCCCCGTGAAATCTGTCGCAGTGAGCGACATGCAGAGACTTCCCATGCCCCACCAGCACCTTCACAACCAGCGACAGCACCAGGGGCACTAGCAGCACCGCCACCAGGCACTCACCATTTGCTCCCCGTGGATCCGTCGCAGCGACCGGAAAGCAGATACCTCCCCTGCCCCGCCAGCAGCAGCAGCACCAATACCAGCCATCCCCATCCTGCCTCCTCCTCTGCCCCCATCCCTGCTGGCGCCCCTCTCAGGCTCCAGAAGCCCTTCTGTGACCAGGAAGCCAGTGACACATGTCACCATCTCATTGGTGAGCGATGTGTTGGGAGGAAGGTTCTTGAGAACGACCTGGAGAGAGGAAAAAGTGGGAGGGAGGAGAGAGGGGCGGAGTGACGAGGGAAAAAAGGGGGAGGAGAGAGGGCATAAGTTAACATATCATTGGTGTGTGACGTGTGGTGTTGGGCGGCAGGTTCTTCAGAACGACCTGGAAAGGAGGGAGTGGGAGAGGGGAGATGGGTGCGAGTGAAAGGATGAAGCATGAGAGAGATAGGGGTGGGAAGGAGTGGGAAGTTAGGTGATTGTAGATGACAGGGGGATGAAGATGAGAGAGATGGAAAGTTGGAAAGTAAGCATGAGGTTTATAGTATGGAGTACAAGCTTACAGTGTCATTGGCGATCTTCACCGTCACATAGGGCTGCCGGTACAGCGTGTCTAGCATGGCTTGCAGATACCCCTCCACGTATGCCTGGAGGGGGGAGGAGAAATGTGAAGAGGATCGAAAAGCAGCAGTTAGAGGTGGAAACAGGTAGAGCGTGTCTTGCACAGGTAGAAACAGGCAGCCACAGTACCCCATGCCTCCCGTCAACCTTCCTGTCATACCTCAGGCAGCCCCAGGCTGGTGCGCAGGCGGATGCTTGGTGCAGAGGAAGAAGAAGAGAGGGCAGTGGTGAAGCCACCAATGCTAAACTATCTACCCCATGCCATCCCGTCATACCTCATGTAGCCCTAGGCTGGTGCGCAGGCGAATGCGGGTGGTGGAGAGGAAGCGGCGGCGAGACGAGGAGGAGGAAGACGAGAGTGCAGCGGTGAAGCCGGGAGCGAAGGGGTGCAGGAGGGGTGCGAGCATGGTGTCTGGCTCCATGGCAATGCGCAGTATGGCGCGATGGAAACCCTTGGCCTGGAGGGGTGTCACGGGATGGGAAGGACAAGAATGCAGTTGGTTAAGGGGTGGAGGAGAGGGATGAGGATGGCGTGATGAAGGCCTTGGCCGGACGGTGGGTGATGGGATGGGATTGGATGGGGTGGGATGCCCAGAACGAGGTTGCTTGAAAGCGCTTTTCAGAAGAGTGACGGCATGGAGGAGAGGAGCGAGCATGGTGTGTGGTGTGGTCCATGGCCTTGCGCAGTATGGCGCAATAAAAGCCCTTGGCCTGAGGGATGGTGGGATGGGATGGTATATATTAGGGGATGGTTTGGGATGGGATCGGATGGGACTACTTAGGAGGGCGCGTCAAAAACATTGGGCATGACATCATGTCATTCGCAGCTCACCAGTTGTGAAGGCATGCTGCCATGCCTTCTCCCAACTCGCCAACCCTGGAGTGTGTCACAACTTACCCGCCATGGCAGGCCACCGCTCTCCACCCCTCGCATCATGGAGTCTGATATCTCCGACACCACCGCGTGCACCACTCCTGTGTCTTATTACCCTCTGAGTCGGCTCCCAAGTCATACAATGTAACAACAAACCCATCGCACTCTCACCAGCCCTGGCAGGCCACCGCTCTCCACCCCTCGCATCATGGAGTCTGATATCTCCGACACCACCGCGTGCACCACTCCTGTGTCTTATTACCCTCTGAGTCGGCTCTCAAGTCAAACAAAGTAACAACAAACCCATCGCACTCTCACCAGCCCTGGCAGGCCACCGCTCTCCACCCCTCGCATCATGGAGTCTGACAGCTCTGAGACCACCGCATGCACCACCCCTGTGCCTGCCTCGCGCACCTGATAGATGGGGAGGAAACAGTGGCCCCACCATTGACAACACCCAAAGAAAAGGGCAAGGATGAGACAGAGAAAGCGGAACAGAAACAAAAAAAAATCAAATTTTGGAGAGCACCTTAACCAACCACTACGCTTACCCTGCACACTCACAAACACCACACACTACATTCACTGTCGGCTCCACCGTCTCCACGGCTCTGAGGAAGAGCAAGGGTGAGATGCCAATCGAGTTGCTGACAACTCTCCATCGAGCCTGTACTATACTCGCTATAGACCTGACAACATAGTCATCAATGCACACTACACACTCACTGTAGACTCCACATCCCCTAGGAAGAGCGTGGGTGAGATGCCAAACGAGCTGCCTCCACTGGCATCTCGCCTCCTCACCATCTTGCGCAGAATATCGAATATTCCTGTAAGGGGGACGGATGGTTGGAAGGGGTTGAAGAAGCAGGAGCGGGAAGGAGGGAGAAGAATTAGCGGGCGTATGAGATGGCAAGCGATAGTGATGGTGATGGCGATGGTGATGGTGATGGTGATCAAGAGGTAGTGGCGATGGCCAACTTTGAAGACCTGTACTTGTGGTGGTGGTGGCAGTGGCCAGTGGCCAGGGCAATGCGGCCCAGGGAGGGGTGGTGGAACGAGGCATGGACCAGCCAGGGAAGCTGAAGATGTGGAATCAGTGACGGCCCTGCCTTTAAAGGAAGGCAGTGAAGGGTTGCATGTGCATCCCCCAAGGCTGGTGGTGGTGGTTTCGGAAACCGCCCAAGGATGCATTCCCCAAGACAGTACCTCAGATGCACTCCCCAAGACAGTATTCTCTGTGCACCACCACCCTACATCTGGTGGTGGCAGTGGCGACGAGGGCGATGTGGCCGTGCAAGGGGTCGAAGAGCGCAGATGACTTTTGAGTCGACTCAAAAGGCAGTGGCGAGGGCGATGTGGTGTGGCCCTGCAAGGGGTCTATTTTGAGGCGCCTCAAGCGCTGAGGGCGCGGAGTCGTCAAAGAGAGCCGTGAAAGGGCTGCGATGGCCTACGATGGGCTACATAGTGAAAGGAAAGTACCATATACAGCCCAGGCCAGATGGCCATACCTCTGGTGGTGGCAGTGGCGAGTGCATTGTGCCCCTGGGAGGGGTCGAAGAAGGCGTCCAGAGCTGACGAGGCGGAGTCGTCAAAGAGAGCAGTGAAGGGCTGTGGGAGCAGGGGCAGACCACGAGCTATGTACACTGCTCGTAGGGCGTACCTACATGGGAAGGGGGAGGGGGAGAGCGGGAGGGAGGGGGGAGAGGGGGGAGAGGGGGGAGAGAGGGGAGGAGGAAAATGAGAGGCGTTATCAAAGAGAGAAGTGAAGGGCTGAGGGAGCAGGGGCAGCCCGCGAGCTATGTACACTGCTCGCAGGGCGTACCTGCATGGGAGGAGGGGGGGGAGAGAGGAGGGGCGTCATCACTGAGAGCGGTGATTGGCTGGGGTAGCAGAGGCAGGCTACGAGCTATGTACACTGCTCGTAGGGCGTACCTGCATGGGAGGAGAGGGGGGGGGAGGGGAAGGGGGGGAGAAGGGAGGGAGAGAGGGGAGGAGGAAACGGAGAAACGTCATCCAAGGGAGCAGCGAAATGGTGTGGGAGCAGAGGCAGACCACCTGCAACCGGTGTGGTGTGAAAAAATCGTTATCCAAGGCAGACCACCTGCAATGCAATGTAGCACACTGCTCGAAGGGCGCACCTGAATGAAGATGGATGGAGGTGCCTGCTGACTTTTCAGTCGACTCAATAGTCACCTCGTTACAATGCAAATGTTTTTGAGAATTCTCAAAAACACCCTGCAAAATCGTTACAATGCAAATGGATCGACATGCGTGCTTCGCTCTACACTGCTGCTCACCACGAGTAGTGCCTCGTGAGCAGCACACCATCTGCTCACCATCTGCTTGGACGAGGTCAGCGCATGCGTCAGCAGTAGCCCGTGCTGGTGGATGGACGTGCGCTGCACTGCTGGCATTCGAGAGTGATGGCTTACTAGAACGGATGCAAAACCACCTACACTCACTAGAGAAGATATACGGGGTTACCCACACTCACCACGAGTAGTGTCTGGTCAGTTTGGCAACCATCTGCTTGGACGATGTGAGGGCGTGGGTGAGCAGAGCAGTAGCCCGTGCAGGTGGATGGACGTGCGCTGCAGTGCTGGCACTTGAGAGAGTGATGGTTTACTGACTAGGAAAGATATAGAGGGTTACTGAGACGCTCACCACGAGTAGTGTCTGGTCAGTTTAGCGACCATCTGTTTTGAGGATGTGAGAGCATGCGTCAGCAGCAGCCCGTGCAGGTGGATGGACGTGCGCTGCACTGCTGGCACTTGAATCACCGAGTGAATGATCCCCCTCAGCGCCTCCTGTGCTGATGAGTAGTCGATGGCGCCTGGTGCACTGGGCAGGAAACTCGCCACCACCTGTTCGGGGGGGGGGAATGCGCAGTAGCCATGGCAGATTGGGTATCTAAAGCACCTGGATCACCGAGTGAATGAGGTGATCCACCTGTGAGGTGAGGTGCACGGGGTGTGAGGGAGAGGGATGGGATATGGGGTTTGGGGTTTGGGGTATGGGGTATGGGGTATGGGGTATGGGGTATGGGGTTTGGAATATGGGGTTTGGGACACAAATATGGATGCTCGATTCGAACAGACACACCACAATCCGTACCAAGCATATCACAATATGCCTTAAAGCACCTCCAAGCCTACCTTGACAGGGTGGATGTCAAAGCATTCGACATAGATCGTGTGGTGTGGTGCTCCAGTCGTGCTTTAAGGCATCACCAAGGATCCGTACTGTTGTAAAATATATATCTATACAACATGCATGCCTAGATTAGGAGGTGTAGTCATTCTAATTATTGGGGGTTGTTGGTTGGGTTGACCAACCCCACATTTGGGTTGGTCAAGATTGGATTTGGTCCTAGACATTTGGTTGGCACTATTCCAACCAAATGGTCCTTGGTCCTAGGAACCAACCAATCACCAAGCACCACACTTTGTGGTTGCTTGCCTTCCAAGCAATCTCTCTCATTGGTCCACATTGTGGCCAATCGGAGAGCACCACACTTTGTGGTTGCTTGCCCTACAAGCAACCTCTCCCATTGGTCCACTTTATGGCCAATAGGAGAGCTTCCCTTCCAACTCTTTCTTGCTCCTTGTTTTGTACAAAAGAGCCTCTTGGCTCCCTACTCAATTCAATCTTTTCTCTTCCAAGCTAATTCCTTCATGGTATTCAGAGCTACAATGGCTCACGCCACCTCTAGTCGATCCTAACTAGCACGGCCGTATGCCGTCCCTCCTCGTCTTCGAAGCCTAGCCATTCCTTAAGGCTCCTTCCCGCGCCCCCCGTGCGCCCTCTCCCGCCGCGCTATTCCGTCGCGCCCGCTCTTCCTCCCGACCTCTTGCGCCATTCCTCCTCCGTTGCCGCTGTTGCTCAGCAGCGCAACACCAGGGGAGGGCGTGGGGGTGGGCGTGGCGCTGGTCGTGGTGGTGGCGCGGGTCGCGGTAGCAATGGCGCAGGACGTGGTGCAGCAGCCGCCTTTCCTCCTTGCCAGTATCTCCCTCGCTATGGCCCGACGCGGGGTCAGCGCTGCGGCCAGACCACTCATGCCACTGATTCTTGCTTCAAAGCGCTCAGTGATGAGTGGTTTGCCCGCGGCAACACCGGCACCCCCCCCCGCTGGTCCTCCCTCTCTCCTCGCCCCACTCCTCAGGAAGTTCATACCTCCCCTCTTTTTCAGCCCGTCTCCTCCCCCTTGGCCCACCAGGCCGTCTCTCAGCATCAGCAGCAGCAGCAGACTCCGCAGCAGATCCTGCCGCAGCCGTTTCAGCAGCAGCAGCAGCAGTTCCAGCAGCAGCAGCAGCAGGGGCAGCAGCACCTCTTCTCCCAGTTGCAGCAGCAGCTCCAGCAGCTTCAGCAGCAGCTTGACCTCCAGTCACAGCTCCCCCTTGCACCTCCTCCTATGGCTCCCCCCCAGCAGCCCTACCCCGCTTGGACCGCCGGCACCGCCGCTTCCGCAGCTCACCTCTCGGGCGCGTCTCCCGCGCCCTCAGCCACAGGCAGTGTGACTCCTTTCCCCTCCTCTGGTTTTGTTGGCATGGTTAGCCAGGCTGGAACCCCCGCCCCTTCTATGTATTCGGCTGCTATTAATGAGAATGTGATTCAGTACTCCGTCCCACCTCCTCCCCCACATCCTCCCCCCTCCACCACGCTGGACTTTGTCCTTGACAGTGGAGCCACTGAGTCCGTCCTTCGTGATGCTGGTACCCTTCACCCTCTCCCAGCCCCCACCTCCCTCCTTGGTGCCGATTCCAGCTTCTCTATTCCCTGTCGCCACACCTCTACCCTCCCCTGTCCCCTCTTCCCCTCAGGTACCGTCACTGGTTTACACATCCCCTCCCTCCGTACTAACCTCCTCTCCCAGCGATCCCTACAGCAGGCCGGTATCACCACCGTCTTCCCAGGTCGCGCTAATCACTGCCTCCTATACCATCCCACAGGTCGCCTCCTCTCCCGTATTCCCTTTTGTCCTCTCTCCCGCCTATATACCCTTCGAGTTCCTCGTCTTCCCTCTGCCCAGGCAGTCTCCCGCTCCCTCCCCCCACCTCACATCCCTCCCCCTCCTCTCCCTCCTTCTAACCCAACCATTCCCCCCCTCCCCCCTGACCCAACCTGCTCCTGTCGATCCCTCTCCCATCCCACCGTCCTCCTCCACCACAGGCTTGGTCACCCCAACTTTGCCACCCTCCGCTCGACCGTCTCCTCAGGTCTCCTTCGAGGTCTTCCCCTCACCCTCCCTCCCCTCCCTCCCTCCCTTGCCCCACCCTGCTCCGTCTGTGTCCAGAGCAAGCTCAAGCAGCTGCCGCATCGGAGTTCCCCCTCCGCTGCTGCTCAGCCGCTTGATCTTGTTCACATGGACCTCTGGGGCCCCAACCCCTCCCCTTCCCGCCAGGGCCATCGCTACATGCTTGTTCTAGTCGATGATCACAGCCGATATTCGTCCGTCTCCCTTCTTCGCTCGAAGGGTGATGCTTCGGCTGCGATCATCGCCTGGCTCAAGCAGGCGAGCACCCACTTTGGCCGCCCTGTGCGCCGCCTTCACTCTGATGGCGGTGGTGAATTCCTTAATCGTCAGGTAGCCTCCTACTGTGAGCTTCATGGCATTCGCCAGACTCACACCCTCCCCCACTCTCCCCAGCAGAATGGTGTGGCCGAGAGCCGTGTTCGGGAGATCACCAAGATTGCTCGGTGCCTCCTCGTCCATGCCTCTTGCCCCCCTTCTCTGTGGGGCTATGCCCTCCTTCACGCCACCCTCCTTACTAACCTGTACCCCCACCCTATCCTTCCCTCCACCACTCCCACCGAGCTCTGGACGTCGGCCAAGCCTGACGTCTCCTCCCTCCGTGTGTGGGGCTCCAGGGCGTATGTCCTCATTCACCCTGCGGACCGCCCCCACACCATGGGAAAGCTCGCCTCCCGTACTCTCCCCTGCATCTTCCTTGGTCATAATCCCTCCTCCCCGGACTACCTCTTCCTTCACCCCCCCTCAGGTCGTTTCCTCCGCAGTCGGGATGTAGTCTTTGATGAGTCCACACCCTACTATTCCACTCCTCCCCCCACTGACCCTCTCGCCCCTGCTCCCAGGCCCCTCAACTGGTCCGACACTATCCCACCCCCTCTTCTCCCTCCCCCTCCCATCCTCCCTCTCGCTCCACCTCCTCCATTCCCCGCCGCCTCGGTCCCTAGTGCTCCCCCCTCCTCTGGTGACATATTTGACCCTGACCCTTTTTTTCCCCCCGCCTCCCCGTCCCACTCCTCCCCCTCCGCTCCCTCCCATCCTCCCCCCTCCCCCCCACGTCCCCCTCCCCCCTTGCGTCCCACCCGCTCCATCCTTACCCGGTATCCCCACACCAGGTCGCGTGACGCAGTCCTAGGTGCCCCGCCTCCTGTTATCCTCTCTTCCTCTCCCTTGCCTCCTCTCTCCCCTCTCATGGACCTCCTTTTTCAGACAGTCTTACAACAAAACACTAGCCCAACCCTGCCGTCGAGCTCCAGTACAGCAGCCGCCTCAACAGCAGCAGCAGCAGATGCATCCTCAGCAGCAGCAGCAGCAGCAGCAGCGGCAGCATCAGCAGCTGCAGTCCTCCCATTCATTTTCCACTCCTCCCTCCTCGAGGACTCCCATGAGGAGATCCTCAACCTCCACCTGCATGATCCAGCCCTCCTACCCATCTCCCCTGACCTCAGCGGCACACCAGTCTTCGCCTTCTCCTCCGCCCCCACCATCTTCGTCCCCGCTACGTACGAGGAGGCCATGGCGTGCCCTGACGCTCACCTCTGGCTCGCGGCCATCCTCAAGGAGTTGGAGGCGTTTATTGCCAACTCCTCCTTTGTGGATGTGCCACGCCCTCCCTCTACCACGAACGTGGTCAAAGGGAAGTGGGTGTTTCGGGTGAAGCAGCTTCCTGGCGAGCCGCCAGTCTACAAGGCCCGCTACGTCGCCAAGGGCTTCACCCAGCGCTACGCTGTCGACTTCTTCGACACCTTCTCTCCCACCGCCAAGCCCGCTACCATTCGCGCAGTCCTCGACCTCGCCGCTCGCCTCAACATGGAGATTCACTCCATGGATGTCTCCAACGCATTCCTCCAAGGGGTCTTGCGCGAGCTCATTTACATGGAGCGTCCTGCCGGCTTCCATCTCCCCTTTCCGTCCGACTCTGTCTGGCAGCTGCGTCGGCCGGTCTATGGGCTCAAGCAGGCACCAAGGGAGTGGCATGCCAAGCTTGCTGCCACCCTCGCCGAGCTTGGCTTCAGCACCTCCCGTGCCGACCCCAGCCTCTTCCTCCGCACCTCCCCCTCCCCCTTCTACATCCTCGTCTATGTCGACGATATGATCCTCATCACTGCCGACTCCGCCGAGCTCGAGCGCGTCAAGCGTGAGCTTGGCAGCCGGCTCAAGTGTAAGGATCTAGGGGAGCTGCAGCACTATCTCGGCATGGAGATTACCCGCGACCGTGCTGCTCGCACCATCTCCCTCTCCCAAGGCCACTACCTGCAGCAGGTCTTGGAGCGGTTCGACATGGCTCGAGGCACCCCTCAGGTCACCCCTCTTCCTGTTGGGCACCACCTCACTCCCCTCACCTCCCCCTCCTCCTCCTCCCACCCCTACGCTGAGCTCATCGGCTCTCTCATGTATGCCATGGTCTCCACCCGCCCTGACCTGGCATACCCCATCAGCGTTTTGGCCCGCTTCGTTGGTACCGGCAAGCATGATGCCGCCCACTGGCAAGCGGCCAAGCGTGTCCTCCGCTACCTTCGGGGGACCAAGGACTACGTCCTTACCCTTGGCGGCCCCTCCCCTCCCCTCCTTACTGGCTACTCTGATTCCTCCTGGGCTGACTCTAGGCCTGACCGCCGCTCCTCTCAGGGCTATGGCTTCTCTCTTGGCAGTGGCCTCATCAGCTGGCGCTCCACCCGCTCCTCCTCCATTGCCCTCTCCTCCTGCGAAGCAGAGCTGTATGCCGCTACCATGGCTGCGCAGGAGGCCCGCTGGCTCTCCTTCCTTCTTGAGGAGCTTGGTGCCCCTCAGCGCTGTCCCACCATCTGGTGCGACAACGCCAGCACCATCCACCTCACGAAGGATGCCGTGTTCCACGGGCGCTCCAAGCACATTGAGCTTCGCCACTACTTCATTCGTGAGCTTGTGCAAGGTGGCCACCTCCGGCTGGGCAAGATTGACTCTGCTGCCAATCTTGCTGACATCTTCACCAAAGCCCTCCCCCACGCCGCCCACTCGTCCCTCCTTCGCCTTCTTGGACTCGCTCCCCCCGTTCCCTCGTCCGCCTCCTGATTCAAGCCCTCTAGTCTTATGCATGTTGGGGGGTTGTGTTGTAAAATATATATCTATACAACATGCATGCCTAGATTAGGAGGTGTAGTCATTCTAATTATTGGGGGTTGTTGGTTGGGTTGACCAACCCCACATTTGGGTTGGTCAAGATTGGATTTGGTCCTAGACATTTGGTTGGCACTATTCCAACCAAATGGTCCTTGGTCCTAGGAACCAACCAATCACCAAGCACCACACTTTGTGGTTGCTTGCCTTCCAAGCAATCTCTCTCATTGGTCCACATTGTGGCCAATCGGAGAGCACCACACTTTGTGGTTGCTTGCCCTACAAGCAACCTCTCCCATTGGTCCACTTTATGGCCAATAGGAGAGCTTCCCTTCCAACTCTTTCTTGCTCCTTGTTTTGTACAAAAGAGCCTCTTGGCTCCCTACTCAATTCAATCTTTTCTCTTCCAAGCTAATTCCTTCACGTACCAAGCATACCACAGTATTCTTTGGGTACCTCCCTCCTACTCCGAGCGTACCTTGATGGGGTGAATCTCGAGGTACTCAATGTAGATGGGAGTGGTGCCCCAGTCATGCCCTGAGCTGAGGCACATCCAATCCAAGCATCCGTACCAGGAGATATACAATATTTTTTGGGTCCCTCCAATCCAACTCCGAGCGTACCTTGATGGGGTGAATCTCGAGGTACTCAATGTAGATGGGAGTGGCGCTCCAGTCGCGGACCGGCACGCTGGGATCCTTGGTCCGGTAGAAGGGCACGAGGCGGAGGAGAGTGCTCTCATCGATGCTCAATTCCACAGGCTGAAGGGAGGGGATGGGATGGGATGGGATGGGATGGGATGGGATGGGATGGGATGGGTCGCATGCATGGATTGGAGATTGATTATGGTCGCATGGAAGGGGCTTTGGCATGGACGGGGGAATGGACGGGAGGTCGCAGGGGGGAAGTCGTAGGGTGTGTGTGGAGAGGTCCGAAGGAAAGAGTGGGGAGGGGAGGGGGGGGGTGTGGGGAGGGGAGAGAGCATCTAAGGAGGGGCAACGTTTCGAGGTTCCTACACAAGGTCACCATATGCAGAGCAGCCTAAGCCGACCTGCAGCAGGAATGACGCAGAGCGAATGTGCTGCGGGCGGGAAGCAAGCCGATTCACCACCACCAACATCGACAACACCGGAGCCCCCCCCCTTCCTCCTCCTCCTCCACCTCCTCCTCCTCCTCCCCTTCCCCCTCCACCTCCTATCCCCCTCCCCCCACCTCCTCCTCCCACTCCGCCTGCCCCTCCCACTCCCCCTCTCCCCACCCACCGATTCCTCAATGCCCGTCCTATCATGGTGCCACTGGCAGCAGCGGCATCAGTCGAGGTGGGAGACGGGTTGAGGGAGCGAAGGACAACGGCAGAGGACAGGAGGGAGGGTTGTGTGCTGGAGGGCTGGTTGAGAGTGAGGGGTAGCGGTGGGGGCTTGAGAGGGGGCGGGCAAGAGTCGATACCTGCATTCTGTGTGGGTTAAAAGAGGGGAGGGGGGAGGCGCGGGGTGGTTGGGAGGATGGTGAATGGATGCGAGAGCGGGTGGGGAAGAGATGCGCAAGCTGTGAAGCTTAAAAGAAAAAAAGGGCGTGCATCTACCTTAGAACATGGGCAGACGTGATATGAAGTATCCATAGGCCGCGTTTTAAGGGGCATAAACTCACACGTAGCACAGCCTCCAGTGCCAAGTCCCGCCGGGACACGGAAAAGGAGGCCCGGGCCTTCTGCGCGTCTATACAGCAAAGGCAGCGCCTGCAGAGGAATGCTTTTGAGGCGTGTCTAATCAACTCACACATAGCACAGCCTCCAGTGCCAAGTCCCGCTGAGAAACAGACAAGGCGGCCCACAGGCCCTCCGCCCGCCCATGCAGCAACATCCGTCGAGCCATCTCCTCCTCCCACTCCTCTTCTTCCTCTTCCGCCCTCCCTTCCTCTCCTTCTGGCTCCTTCCCCTCTCTCCTCTCCCTAGCCTTCCCCTGTGGCGAATCCTCCTGCTGCTTCGCAATCAGGTCTGAGGAGCTGGCAGACTGGTGGCAGGGACAGACACGGCAGGGTGAAAACCACATTCACGAAATAAAGAGGCTGGGAGGGACGAGAGGGACGAGAGGGTTGCATTTGCACGGATGCAGTTGCATTCGACAGGACATTGCATGACATGGCAAGAACTGACATGACATGACATGACATGACATGACATGACATTGCATGACATGACATGACATTGCACGACATGACATGACATGACATGACAAGAACTCCACAATACCACAAGTCCATTCCGTGTTGCTCTCACCTGCAGCAGCTTGATGTCGATGCCGTCCACCTCAACCATCGCATCCACCTCCCTTGCTCTCATGCACTCAGCCTTCAACTGGCAAGGCATGCATAACCACAACTTCAAACACCACATCAGCACATGGTGCACCTCACTCACCTGCAGCAGCTTGATGTCGATCCCTTCCACCTCAAACATCGCATCCATCTCCCTTGAATCCACCGCCCCGGGGCCGACCCCTTCCCCCCCACCCCCAGTCAAAGCTCCACTCCCAGTACCATGTGCACTGGCACCACTCATACCACCGCTGGCACCAGTGCCAGCACCACCGCCCTTTCTCACAGCACCTTCCCTGTCCTTGGCTCTCTCTCTCTCGCACACTCGCACCACTCGGATCGGCCCATCTGCATACACCTCCACGCCTACCACCTGCTGCCGCGCACTGGAGATACCACCAGCCGGCACCGCACCTGCTGCACCGGAGCCACTCCAACCCCTATCCACCGCACTTGACCCCTTGGCACTCCCCTGGCTGCTATCCCTGCCCCCACTGCTTCCACTGGCGGCTCTGCCTTCCTCAGTTACATCCTTCCCCCCAACACCCTTTGCCTGCTCTGCTCCCTCCTCTTGGCCCCGCTCCTCGCCCTCCTCTTCCTCCTCATACTTGTAAGCATCATCATCAAAATCATCTTCCTCTCCCCCCTTCCATTGTTTCAGGTGGAAAGGCAGGTGAAACGGCAGCAGGGAGGGGAAAGCGGAGTGAGAGAGGCGCAGGCGCCGCCACAGCTTGATCTTGTCTGGGCTGACCTCCTGCTGAGGTATGCAGCCTGCAGAATGGGAGGGTGTTGTGGCAGGCAGAGGGATACACAGCAGCAGGGGGGGGAAGGCAGGGTGGGACAGTCGTAGGCGCCGCCACGGCTTGACCTTGTCTTCTGGACTGACATTCAGCTGGGAGATGCAGCATAGCAGGACAGGTAGCATGCACCAGTCCTCCCAGGTGAAAGGAAAAGACTCGCCTGGTGAAGTCAATTAGCCTACCTGGCGCAGAGAGCAGCAGGTGATTTTTGAGTCGACTAAAAACTCGCCTACCTGGTGCAGTGAGCAGCAGTCTCTTGGGTAAGCGCCAGTCCTCCCAGGTGAAAGGAACAGACTCGCCTGGCTCCACCACCTCCCACTCCTCAGACCCCTGCACACATGCAACATGCGGTTACAGCCACAGACTGTCATGAATCGCCGTGCTAATTATGCAGTTGTGATCATCTGTGCAGTCGAAATGGAATGCACAGTCCTGATTTAACTTTAATTGCTATAGCCCAGCCATATACTCTCACCTTCTGTGCCACAAAGAGCTTTTGAGAATTCTCAAAAGCACCCTGCAAAGTCGTGATCATCGGTGTAGTGTAGTCGTAATAGAGTGTGCTGTCCTGATCACCTTCCATTGCTATAGACCAGCCACAGAAGCTATAGTATATACTCTCACTCACCTTCTGTGCCACAGAGACTGCCATTCCCTCAAGCGCATTCTCGATGCGGTAGGGTGCTTCCTGCATGCCCTCCACTGGACGAATCTCCGCCACCCACGTGCCGCCCACCACTGACGCTGCTGCTGTAGCTGGTGATGCTGATGATGTTGATGGTGATACTGGTGCAAAGCCTTTTTCCCCATCATCAGCACCTGCTGCGTTGCTAGACCCCACCCCCGACCCTGCTGCTTGCTCTGCGACGCTTGCTACGGACGCCCCTTCTGCTTGCTCCCCTATGCCCCCCCCTCCGCCTCCTCCCTCTGCCACGTCAGCAACAGCAAAGAGCACCGGCTGTAGCACGCGCACCCCACTGGCTGCTACAACCGACATTGACAGCTGGCGCTGCAGATCTGCTGTAGCTGTCGATGATGGTGATGATGGGGATGGGGATGGTGATGCTTCCTGGATGGTTCCTAGTGGGTTGCCAGTACTGCCATTGTTGCTGCTGTTGGTGTGAGAGCGAATCTTGAGGCAGAACGAGCCAAGAGATGCCGCCCCAAACGGCCCGGACCAGTGCCACGTGGCATCCTCGGATTGGGCTTTAGGAGACGGAGGTGAGAACGGCTGGGAAGAATCCAGCGGGCGAAAGCGTAGGAAAGGACGAATGATGCCGCCATCTTCCAGCACAGGTTCGGAGGAGGTAGGAGGAGTGGAGGAGGAGGAGAGAGCGAGGGAGGAGCGGGAGAACCAGATGTGCGATGGGGATTGGGCGTGGATGGCTGCAGATGCCCCTGGTTCTATGGTGGTCCAGAGCTCGGGAAAGAACTGCAGTGGGACAGGGAAAAGACACAATAGAAAGGCACGCGGAATGTTTTTTCTCGGCCGAAAAAAAAAAAAAAAAAAAAAAAAAAAAAAAAACAGAACGCACATCTGCACACTCATGTTACTCCAGAAGCGACCCAGGAAAACGGGCTGTCCTACCTCCAATCCCTCCTGGCAAACTAGAAGGGGCACGGGGAAGCAGTTGCGCACGACGTATCTCGGACAAATCTCTGCCACTCGGGAGGGGCTGCCACTTGTTGACAGCCGCAGGCGGACAGCGAATTGGAAGCAGCGCAGCGACCAATCACAGGCCGCCACAGCAGCAGCAGTGGCGTGCTGGGAGGAGATGCTCCGGGGATCCCTTTGGTTTCTGCTCTCACTGTTCCTTCCTATCGCTCCCCTCTCTGTGTTTCCTGCAGCCTCTCCCCCCTCCGGCTCCCCTTCCTCTCCACCTTCTATCACTGTCTCTAATCGCCCCCGTCGCCCCCTCCCCAGCTTCGCCCTTCTCCGTGTACTCGTTATACACGTCTCACTAGACCTCTCCCGGTCTCTTGTAACGGGTACACTCTGCACCAGCTGAATCTCAGTCGTTCGGCAGATAGAAGCGAGGTCAATGGTGGCCCCTCGTCCTTCCATGCTTCTACCCCTCTCCTGGGCGCTCCCTCTCTCTTCTCCCCCTGCAGCTGCCTCCTGTGCAATGCAGATGCGGACAGACGTGCCTCTGCAAGAAAAACAAGGAGGTCAGACAGAGGTCGTGTTCCTTTTCCAGCAGCAACTCAAGAAGGCTGAGACCGAGGAGAAGGGTTTCTCAACAATGGAATACATACCAGACCAAAGGAGCAAATGTGCACTCACGCAGCAAGCCATGGCTGGGCAGCGTTGGGCGGCAGCAGTAATGACACGGTGGAATGCGGTGAATAGGAGTAAAACTGCTGCAGCTGAGCTCTGCTCCCTTTCTTCCCCTTGCCATCATGCAGCATGGATTGCATTGATGGGCTTGCGGCCAGGGAGCAAATCAATGGCATGTCGGTGGCGTTGCGGATGGTCCATGCGGGGAAGATCTCAAACTGGGTGGGACCGGGGAGATGGGGGAAAGAAAGGGGGGAGGACTTGTTCGTGATTGTGACGCTGGGCTTGCAGCCAAGGAGCTCAGGGGCATGTCTGTGGTGTTGCGGATGGTCCATGCGGGGAAGATCTCAAACTGGGAGAGACGTGGACAACCGGCAAAGGAAGTAGGAAGAAAGAGGACTGAAGCCCCTAAAAGACAGACACGCGAGAGCAGATAAAAGGATAGAATACGACCTTCACTTCAAGGAGTGCAGAACTCATTAGTATCCTTACCTCAGGCACGGCATCCTTGTCGCTGTATCGAGTCCGCATCTGCACCGCAATTTCAGCTGAAGAATCACCACCCCTCGCTCCACTGGGCCCCACTCCATTGCCCCCTACCACATTGCTCCCCCCTCCACTGCTTCCTGTCTCACCGCCCCTCGTATTTGCCCCATGCTGCTGCTGCTGCTGCTGCTGCGGCTCCTCCTGAAGATTCACCTGATTCCCGCCCACCAGCTGCTGATGCCCCTCCTGAGAATCCACCTGAGGAGAATCCACCTGGTGCAGCTTCACCTGAACCTCACTCCCACCAACAGACGGCAGCCCCAGCTGTGCGAGAGCCACGGTGCCCTTGACATGTGGCAGCACGTCACGGGCCAGCAGAGCCAGCAGGTTGCCAGCACACGGCACGTGCACAGGGGGGCTGCAGAACACAGCACTCGGACGTGCAGCCCCCCTTTCGTGTACAGACCCCCTTTTGAGAGCAGATCCCCTTTGCCCTGTTCCAGGACACGGAACCGGGGTGAGGAGGGTGAGGTAGCACCAGGTAGGGTCGGCAAAGAGAGAGACCCAGCCAGAGGAGGAAGCGGGGATGTGAAGAAAATATGAATCGGCCGCAGCACCAGTCAAAGCACCATCACTGGTCTCTACAGCAGCAGCAGTAGCAGCAGCAGCAGCAGCAGCAGTAGCAGCAGCAGCAGCAGCAGCAGTAGCAGCAGCAGCAGCAGCAGCAGCAGTAGCAGCAGCAGCAGCAGCAGTAGCAGCAGCAGCAGCAGCGGCGTCCTTCTTAGTCGGTGAAAGACAGATGACTATATCAAACGGCAGCCAGCAGCGCACTCGAGCTGTGGGCAGCACCACCACCTCCATCGGCCGCACCCACGCCACTCCCCTCCCCTCGCCCTCTCTCTCACTTCCCCCCACCTCCCTCCTCCCTCCACCTCTCATGTCATTTACCACTTGCCCATCTCTCATCGCCCCCAGGTGCACCTCCTCGGTTCCCACCTTCACTAGAAAATGCCGATTCTTCGCTTCGGCAACAAAACCTGAAGAACCTCCCGCCCCAGCTACAAGAAACCTTTCCCGAGCCTCCCCTTCAGGCTCGGGAGCTCCAGACCCTCCAGGACTGGCATTGTTGCTGGAGGTAGCGGTGGGAGCAGAGGGGCTTTTTGGGCGGCAAGTGAGGGAGGAAAAGGACGAATTGAGCGTGCTGCCCAGATGCAGCATTTGGCTGAGCTGTAGCATGCGGCCCATTCTTGTCTTCATCTGGCGCTGTATGCCGTCCAGCCAGCTCTTGTCCATTACCGCCTGAGATCCCGAGATCTCCTCGGACCAATCAAAGCACAGCTGCTGCTGCCGCTGTTGCTGTGACTGTGGCATCTGTTGTGTTTCCTGCTGTTGCTGTGAGCGAGTGGGAACCCTGGTGCCAACGCTGTCACTGCTACCGCCAGTGCTCCTGGCAGGAGATCCATGGATAGGCGATTTTTGAGGCGCCTCAAAAAGAGATACATGGATAGACGGCACTGTGGTGGCAGCAGGCGGCCGGAAAGACAGCAGATATTTGCCTGCAGTCAATGGGACGGAGAGGCAGAAAGAGATGCATAGGGGGTGAACGAAACCATTGTAACCAGTTCAACATAACCCTAAAAGTGACTTCTGCAATACATATCCCTGCTGCCACGCTACCTGCTGCCACGCAATCTGCTACCACGCTACCTGCTGCCACGCTACAATTGGCCCATGCAGTGTCACCCCATACCTGCTGCAAGGTCGTTCACCAGGCGCCGCTGCATGCTGACACGCCCTACCTACGTGCCGACATACCGTGTCGTACCTGCTGCAAGGTCGTTCACCAGGCGCCGCTGCATGCTGACACGCCCTACCTACGTGCCGACAGACCGGGCCGTACCTGCTGCAAGGTCGTTCACCAGGCACCGCTGCATGCTGACACGCCCTACCTACGTGCCGACAGACCGGGCCGTACCTGCTGCAAGGTCCAGAGACTGCCCATGCTACATGCATAGCAAACACGCTGACCCATTCTACATGCCAATAGACCCTTTCATACCTGCTACAAGGTCCAGAGACTGCCCATGCTGCATGCATAGCAAACACGCTGACCCATTCTACATGCCAATAGACCCTTTCATACCTGCTGCAAGGTCCAGAGACTGCCCATGCTGCATGCATAGCAAACACGCTGACCCATTCTACATGCCAATAGACCCTTTCATACCTGCTGCAAGGTCCAGAGACTGCCAATGCTGCATGCATAGCAAACACGCTGACCCATTCTACATGCCAATAGACCCTTTCATACCTGCTTTTGAGTCGACACAAAAGCTGCCCATGCTACATGCATAGCAAACACGCTGACACATTCTACATGCCAATAGACCCTTTCATACCTGCTTTTCAGTCGACTCAAAAGCTGCCCATGCTACATGCATAGCAAACACGCTGACACATTCTACATGCCAATAGACCCTTTCATACCTGCTTTTGATTCGACTCAAAAGCTGCCCATGCTACATGCATAGCAAACACGCTGACACATTCTACATGCCAATAGACCCTTTCATACCTGCTGCAAGGTCGTTCACAAGGCGCCGCTGCTCGCCCGCCGAGGCAGCGAATCGGAAGCACAGCGAGGCATCGTCCAGAGACTGCCCAGGCTGCAAATCCTCCTCCACCTCCACCCCTCCCTGCTGCTCCGCCTTTCCAGCAGCTGCTGCAGCTGCTGCTGCTGCTGCAGTGGCAGGAGCAGGTCGTCGGCGCAGGCAGACTTGCAAGGGGCAGCCGGTGTGGTTGCGGACGGAGAGGAATGGAGAGACGGACAGACGCACGCCCTCTGGTGTGCGCTTGGACACATGAAGCACAACCATCGGGCCTGGGAGAGAAGCGGCGGCTTGGCTGGGCCCTGCACAAGAAGAGGAGGAGAGGACGGGTGAAGAGTTCTTCTGGTAAAAGAAGAGTAGAGAATGTCCTGGTGGGTTAAAAGGAATAACAAGAACAAAGGATGGGGCTGAGAACCATCCAAGTTTGACTACGGGAATCCTAAAAAACTTACGCACCTGGGAGCAAGCGCGTGCGAACAGCCGGAGAACCCTCCCTAGCGATGGAGATGGAGAGAGAGGCAGCACCCATCCCTGCTCTGCTGCACTTTTTGAGACGCCCCAAAGCCGATCATAGGAATTCTGAGAGGCGTACTCACCTGGAAGCAAGCGCGTGCGAACAGCCAGAGAGCCCTCCCTAGCAATGGAGATGGAAAGAGGCAGCACCCATTCCTGCTCTGCTGCTGCCGCTTGCTGCTGTCCCCTCTCCTGCTGCCCCTTCTCTTGCTGCCTCTTCTGCTGCTGTATCTTCTCCTTCTGCCCTTTCTGCTGCTGCTGTGCCTTTGGCTGTGGCGGTGGCAGGAGGCGCAGGAACGCGAGAGATGACTCACGAGAATTGGCAAGGTTTCGACGAGATAAAAA